AACTAGTGCTCCTAAGAGGGCCTGAGGAAATCCTGAGAGAAAACACCCCTCATAAAGCAAAGTGTAGAGGGACATCTTTCTTCAGAGAATGGGGCCTGGGTATTTTTCTACCCTGGACTCTTCCTATTACTTGTTTCTCTGTCATTGGTGTGTTGCCTTCACTTCTCATTAAAATGCAAGCAAGTATAGAAAGCATCTAGAATGTTGGTCCCTCCCCTTTTCTGCACCCTACCCTCCAGGAAATAAACAGTAGTTAATATGTATTGACACTGTGCTAAATACTTATCCACGTGTCATTTAGCCCTCATAGTCCTATGGGCAGGTGGTGTTATGGTCCCCATCCCAAAGATGCAAAAAGCAAGACATGCCAAGGGTAAATAACTCACCCGGAGTGCCAAGAGAGTAAGTGGCAGAGCTGGGACTTCGACCATCAGTCTGCACTACTAATATTATGCTCTTCGGAAATGCCTCTCCCTTCAGTCCACTCCTAGGACTTTTCTGGTTCCCCAAACTCACCTGTTTCTTGGGCCCAATCACCTCAGTCATTTCTTTGTGACCACCCAGTAGGAGGGCCTATAAGATGATATAACCAAGCATCTCTTCTCCTCTGTTCTAAGCTCTATGTTCACGGTATCATAAGACTAAGAGAAGAAGACAGTGGAGGAGAGTTCATGGGCCAGATCTGCCGTCCTGGAGAAAGCATGGTTCTCTCCCACCCCCCCAGCCTCCACCGCCCGCCCCAGTGGAACAGCCACTAGCCTCCGAGATGGGGCCCTGCCCCCTACCTGCAGGAAAGGTTTTCTGGTATGGGATGGATCATTCTGCCCTCTGAGTGATCTTCCTCGGTTACAGGCCATTCTTCTTCTGGGCCTGATTGCCAGGAGGGGCAGCTTTGTAGGGAAGACCTTACTGGCAGCATTGTTTGCTGCCAGGGTTGCTATGGCGATGCTTCCTGGGTGGTGACGCAGGGAGGAGGGCTCATCAGTCCCTTGGGCCCCTGACAGCTTCAGGTGAGACAGCCAGGAGATGCGACTCATAAGTTTCTGACTGCAAATGATGGTAACAGGATCTGTTTCTGGACACTTGCCAGGAAAGGCCTGGGGAGTAAAGCAGAGCAGCTTGGCTTCCAGGTCTTGGGTTGTGGGCAGAGGTGGTCATGAGGCACCTGTAAGTGGGCCCATCCTTCGCTAATGTTCTGAAGTCTGCCCCTATGTAGGCCTTTCCCTTACTGGGGACCGGCTATGCAGGTACAGCACTGGAAAAGCTGCCAGTTTCTATGTTAGAAAGGCTGTGCCTGTGCAAGACGTGGGAGATGGCCCTGCTAAAGCCCCTTGCACTCTCCAGTCAGTACTTCATGTTGCCTTCAGGCCTTGCCTCTTGCCTGTGACCATCTTCATCATCACCCACTTTCTTTTCCAGCACCTCCTTATGCCTTAGGGACCAGATACAAACACTCGAGACCAGCATTTCCACCCTGGATTTTATTGAGTAGTAGTTACAGTAGTGTTCTTGAGCTGGCTCACATGCATGTGGTGAGCTGGGGTCTAGGGTGGCTCTTTGCAAAGCGGCAATACGAGATAAGGAAGCCAGGCAGGTCAGGGCCCTTTCAGCCTTCTCAAGCCTTGGGCCAAGTTCTCGTCAATGCTAGCCTCTCCGGCATGATTAGGGACATTATCAGAGAAAAATCTCATGAGCGTGTATCTGGGCACCCACACCCTGTGCTTCAGATGCATCCATTCCCCATCCCCAATTCAACTCTTGACCCATTATAAGAGACCTTTTTACCAGGATTACTTCTTGTAGGGAAGTTGATCTAGAAACGTGGAGAGGGATGTAGGCGGGAGGGGCAATAAGAGGGATCCTGGCAAGCAGATCTGCTTGTCTGGGTGCCTACAGTAAAGAACCCTTGAGGTAGGTACCTTGGGCCTGGAAGAAACTGTGCATTGCAGGTCCCCCCCTTCTCTAGGAACTAAAAGCAAGGAACAGAAGCAAACAAACCACTGTCATCCTACCCACCTCTGGCAGTCTCTAGATAATGCTCTAAGAAAATAAGCTTACATTTATAATCAGAGGATAATTTGGAGAATATTATCCTGTAAGGAGCAGGGAACACGAGACTGCTGGGCACAGAATGTAGTTTGGGGAGTTCCTAACCTCTTTGCACCCTTGCTTTTGCTATGCGCGCCCTTCAGCTCTAGCAGGGAGAATGAGGAATCAGATTCTCTTGGGGAGCACAGGGTAGCACAGAGAACAGTCACCAGGGCCTCGCTGCCTGCAGAGAGCCCAGTGGCAGCTATGGTGTGACGTGTGCCTTGACATAACCAGGCAAAGTGGGGCTAAAGGAGCGGACGGTCTCTGTCTGCTGTCCTTAATCAGAGCCCTTGGACAGCCCAGCCACACAAGTGCCTTGAAGAGTGGGCAGCTTGAGCAGCTAGGGTAAGGCCAGGTCTCTACCGCAGCTCAGGAATGAACTGAGCCCAGCTGATGTTGTCAGAGCCTAGTGGGTCCTCCTCCAGGCCGGGGAAGCTGATGTCCAGCAGGATCTTGCTGAGGCTGTCATTCATTGTGTCCAGAACTAGACCTTCTGTCAGGGAACGGTTGGCTGAAAGGCTGGCAACCTGTGGCTCAGGGGAGCCTGGCTTGGGGACCTCCATATCTGAGGGGGAACAGCCGCCAAAAGGGTCAGAGGTGAGGTCAAAGGGCTCAGAATTGAGGAGCTCTCGGGGTGAGTCAAAGAGGGGGATACTTTTCAGTGGGGTGGTACTAAGATCTGTCAGCCCTAGGGAGTCAGGCAGGGGGCCAAAGGGACCTTGGGGGGTTTGTACTGGGCTGAAATCGAACCCCCCAACTTTGGCTGGGGGTGTGAGCCTCCAGGATTCGGGGGTCAAGGGGAGGACTGATTTGCTCGGGGTGGAAGAGATAGGCAGCGTCTCCTTAATGGGTGTCTTAAAAGGTCCTCCCTCCCCCTGGGAGTAGCCAAGCTGGGAGAGGGGCGCAGAAGACTCTGAGGGGAGAGCGAACTCCGTGGCTCGTCGCAAAGTCCCAGGACCCTCTGAGAAGAGCAGCTCGGGCTCATCCACACAGGGAGGCAGTAGGTGCTGTTTCCTTCGAGACCGGCTCATCTCCCTCCTCTCCCTTCGTTTAATCACGAGCATTTCAGAGACACACTGGGCTGGGGACTTGAGCCCACTGTAGGACTTGTTGGGCTTTGGAGTGGGAGAGTGGGACGAGTCCTCCCAGGACTGAGATGGCTCCTCTTTGACAGACGGGCATGGCGAGGGCCACTCTTCCAAGGGCGGACTTTCGACCTTGATGGGCCTCTCTAAGTGTGGTGTTTCCTCCCCAGGCTGGATTTCTTCCTCCTTGATGGGCTGAGCGGGAAGCATAGGAGACAGCCCTTCTCCAAGCAGGAGTTTCTCTTCTCTCGCTGGTCCTGCAGCAGGAAGAGGGGCTACCCCCTCATCAGCTAGCAGCACCTGGAAGGGAAGCAGGGACAAGGTGGAAGGAAACTCTTGAAGCCTCGAGATTCAACCCAGTCACCAGGCGGGACACAAGATCATGACTAAAAAAAGTGACATGCTGGTAATGATCCTCTTTTTGTCTTTTTAAAGTCTTAAAAAACTATTAAATACGAGAATATATGGTGAACGTGGTAGTTCAATTTCAGGGGGAAAAGACAGAGCATTTAATATGGTGCTGGCATAATTATTATCTATCTGAGACAAAATAAAATTGGATGCCTATTTTATACCATATACAAAGACAAGAGAAAAATTAAAACCATACAAATCCTGAAAGAGAATCTAGGAGACTACATGTACAATCTGAGGGTGGGGGTGACCTTCTTAACCAAGACTGGAAACCCAGAAGCTGTAAAAGAGAAGAGAGACATATTTGACTATATAAAAATTTAAAATCTTACTGTGGTGAGAGACACCATACACAAAGTTAAGAAACAAACAACAGAAGTAAAAAAATATCTTCAGCATAAAAGACAGAAGGTTAATATTTTAATAACAAAGAACTCTCACAAATTATTAACAGAACCTTGTAGAAAAACGGGCAATGTCCATAAATAAGCATCTCACAGTGAACAATCCCAAGTGACCAAATATAATGAGAAGCTGTTCACATTTACTGGTAAGCAAAGAAAGATGAAATTGTTTATGGAGATATCATTTATGCACATTAGATGGGTAAAAATTAAAAAGATTAATAATACCAATTGTTGGCAAAGACACAGGTCTTGTCATATCTTGCTGCTGGAAATGTGAATTATCAGATTTTTTGGAAAGCGATCTAGCAATATTTAGTAAATTTTAAAATACCTCTTTAATCAGCAATCTCATGTCTGGGACTCTATCCAACAGAAATAAAAGCACTCGTAAGAAACACTTGCAAAGGTATTTATTGCAATGTTGTTCATAGGCAAAAAAACTAGAAAAAAAATGTGCCAATAAAGTGGAATGGGTGGAAAAATTATGGCATAGCTATACCATGGACTATTATGTGGCCATTAAAAGACAATGAATTAGAGCTATGCCAAGTGACTTGGAAGAATTTCCATGAGGCAGAAAAGTATATGTAATATAATCCCATTTTTAATATTCTGTGTGTTGTGCTTATATAAAATGGCTATGGCTATATATGTATGTCTATTATACTAAGAGCATGTATGAAATATGGAAGAAAACATACTAAACTGTCAACATGGGTTATCTTGGGGAGCAGGGGTGATGTGAGTGAAGGTGGGGGGAGGGGAAATGGAGGGGAGGCAAAAAGAAGGGGGAAAAAGACTGCATTAAAACAAAAATAATATAATGCTACAATCACATTAATGCATATATGTAAAATTGTATATAGTCATGAGTATAATTTTATGTATATTTAAAAACTATTTGCTATTTCTATCTCAGTGAAGGCAGGGGAGACCTTCTCCCTACCTTGTTACAGGTCAGCTCCTGCTCTCTAAACCTTCTCTAGAGGGTTAAGTCCAGATATGGTAGTCCATTGCAATATGGTCTTTCTTAACTTATCCTTGTCGCCTTCCCCTCAAACTAGACCATGATGTTCAATCAGGGGTGATTCCACCCCAATGTTTGGAGACATTTTAATTGTCACATGGGT